TTCTTTTTTAGAAAATGTAAGGAATTCTAATCTGGATTTGCTGATAAGTATGCCTATAACTCTTAAGTCGCAGCATGTGTTTTTTTCGTTCATATGTAACGTGTATTAAAGCAGTTTCATTTTAGACGTGAGGGCATCCGGCTTTATTCACTGTGCAATGTTGCTTGCTATTTTTAACAAACAAAACCATATTCACGAACATTGCTTGTTCGGACCCAACGCGTCGTCTGCACGAGCGCATGTGTAACATGTATACGAATCAATTTTCCTTAGAAATACCCCACGACAATATCGATTAAGGTTAACTTTAACTTAAAACAAAAACACTTGAGTTTACGAAATCGACGAGCATTATAAAGGAATAATTTTTTGCTGGTTACTTTTACGTTGTAATGTCATATATATATATGAAGAAGGAGATTCATTTACTAAACCTGATATAAATGGTCATATTGTATAACTCAGCGGCGGAGCGGTAATGTCGCTGAACACTGGTAGTTCGGTCCGAGGTTCAAATCCCATGAACGGACTGGTTGCATGGGCGTTTTCGTGGTTTTCCCCATGTGTAAAGTGTATATGAGCCAGTTCCCTTTAGAAAGTCCTCCTCGAAGGCATCACTCTCCTTAGGCAGATAGCCCTCGAGGCTTTGCCATACTATCTAACACACACACATACACATATTGTATAACATACATATTTAGCTATTCTCGAAAATGAGCAGAGATAAATTATGTTTACAGATAGTATTCATTCAGTTATTTTAAAGTATTGATCAAAAATATTAACGATGAAGCACCAAAAAGTTAGATATAGCTCCAAGAACCTTGGGTAAGCAAATTGCCTGCGATCAACCAATTTCATTTACAAATAATGAATGACATGATAATTTTTACAATGGATTTTTTGCCTTTCGGGAGCACGCGACAAATCGCTTTAAGTTAAAAAGATTTTGCACTCTAATTTTTTGAAACAGTATGACAAGAAAGACTTCTGAGTAGCTCGTATAACTTGCCCCAAATTTGGAAATTTTGGGGTGATGCAATATGCCATCAAGGAGGAATTTCTAAGAGAAAATTGGTGGTTGTTCAACCGAATGACCGCCAAATGGCACATTGCATCACAAAAAAACTGAAGGGAAGGATTTTATATGTGCTTTCGCGAAGGCTATTCTAAGGAGAATTAAGTCAAGAACCTCTTGAAGATTCACTTAATGTTTGTTTATTAGAGGTGTCAAATGATTGGATTATGCAATTTTGAAGCGGTATGATAAGAATGATTCATGATAAAGATTCACCCAAATCTGGGCAGATTTCTTTCGACTTGCTATTGGATTGAAATTTAGGTTTTCCTAAAGAAGTGTTGGCAACGCGAAATTCCTCCAAAATAATATTAATTTCCCCTTTCCCTCAAATTTCTAAATTTTTATATAAGTTGCCAACAGATAAAAAGTTATCGATTTCCTTGAAAAGGTCAGTATTGTTTTTAATCTGTTAGCAACGCGAACTCTATATCCCGTCTGGAAAATGTTACAGACTTCTGTCAGCCAATATGTAATTTTTTTATATGTAATTGCCTCTCAAATTGGGTTCATTGCCATCTGGAAAAAAGTTACAGATATCCTGGCAGACTCATGTGTAATTTCCCCGGACTTTATGAAATTAATTTCGACTTGCTATTGGATTGAAATTTAGGTTTTCCTAAAGAAGTGTTGGCAAGGCGAAATTCTTCCACGAAAATATTAATTCCCCCTTTCCCTCAAATTTGGAAATTTTTATATAAGTTGCCAGCAGATAAAAAGTTATCGATTTTCTCTAAGAAGTTAGTATTTTTTTAATCTGTTGGAAATGCGAACCCTATAGACTTCCGTCAGCAAATCTGTAATTTTTTTTTATCTGTGACTGCCTCTTAAATTTGGTTCATTGCTATCTGGATAAAAGTTAGATTTCCTAGCGGTTATGTGTAATTTTTTATCTGTTGGCAGCACCAAATTAAATTTTGTTCGAAAGCAAATGTGGCAGACTGTGTATGATCAATTAAATCTATGTGAAATTCGTTTTTAATCAAATTTCATTATTACATTCCATATGTAGTAACGATTTTAATGTTTTGGTGTAAATTAAATTTTGTTCGAAAACAAATGTGACAGACTGTGTATAATTAAGCCTATGCGAAAGTCTTATTTTAATCAAATGTCATTATTAAATTATGTATCTAGTAATGATTTTAATGCTTTGTTATAAATAAAAATATGACAGAGTGTGTGTATAATTAAGTAAATTTATGTGAAACTCTTTAAACTCAAGTTTCGTTATTGAATTATTATTATTATGTTTTCTTAAGGAGTAGAAGAGAGTTCAGATTTAAATAATTTGAATAAGGTCCCACTTTCTTAACCTGTATTCATTGTGTAATAATCAACACACTCAGCGCGTATCCAAGAAAAAATCTTTCTCGCAAAAGAATCCTCTCTGTTAGAATGAAAAAAAAAAAAAAATCTTTATCAAAAAAATCTCTGTTAGAGTTAAAAGAAAACCTTTCTCGTAAAAGAATATATATATATATATCATACGGCCGGCACAAGCCAGTTAGGAGGATCAGGGCTGTGCCCTTATAATGATAATGGGGGATATATATATATTATGACACTCTACCTGAGTTTTGTTCATTCAGTCGGTACTCCATTAAAAGAAACGTAAAGAAAAACTTATAATTAAGTAATACGGGCAATCCACCCAATTAAATTCACTATAAAACAGGCAATCCACCTTAATGCAAAATAATGATGCATTTTGCTTTTTATTCTAAAACATAAAAACGACACAATGTTGCCAAACCGTAAAATTTAACCTTTAAAGAAATTACATTTATACAACCGTTGAGTTGCTCGCAAAAATATATATATATATATTATATTATATAAATTCCTTTACGAGAAAGATTGTTTTGAACTCTAAGAGATTTTTTTTTAAACTCTCAGATCTACTTTAATAACACAGATCTGTTAATATTAAGTTTTCGAAATTCTAATAGGTTTCACCCTCAATTAAAAATAAAATCACTAATTTAGTAATAATGTTACCAATAATAACAATGTGCGTTGCTTATCAAGAATAGATTTTCTTCTCTCGTAAGGATTTGGTAGTACAAATTCTTTATCTGTCCCATCACAACATCTTCTAATCAATTTTTTGAAGTCATACTGAGGAATGACAACTATCATAAAAGTTGCTAATCAAAATTCTGAATGTTGAATTCTAGGATTTTTACAAGGAAAAAACCGCGCTGCGCTTCAATTTGTTTCTACCGATTAATCTTCTCTTGTAGATTTTCTCTTCAAAAATATTGGGTTGATGTGGTGCAGCAGTAACTTTCTAGAAGCATCGTCACTCTCAAATAATTCTAATCTCTGAATTTCGTAACGGCTAGTATTATATACAGCATAAATGATAATTTATGCCATAATGCGACGATAATTTTGAAATAGGTGATAATTGTAAGAAAGGCTCGAAGCTTTCTTGCACTATAAGTAATTATGAATTTTATCGGAATTCCGTTTTATCGGAATAAAGTTTCAAAGATAATCGATTCCTGATCATGGTATTAGTAAAAATGAAAAACCTGAATTTCTGCAGTATTTTTGACTTAATGACACGCATCAGGTATGAATAGGTTGAAAGAAGAGGGAGGCGGGAGCATTGTCCGGGTACCGAGAAAGGATTATTAGCAAAAATAAATGCCAGAATAAAAATTGTAACATTTCATAAAAGTGTGAAGGAAGATTTTAGATGTAGCGCCTATTTTTGATTTCTCTAGCAGGACCTTTTTCAATAAACGTTTTTTTGCTTTTGGTGAGATAGTGGCTGTGATCTTCCCATTTGGCACACAGTGATATAAATTAATCATTCAAATCTTTAAAAGTGTCCAAATAATAAAAAATGATACCTTTACCACTTTACTTATGTTATTTTGTATCCTCATATGAGGCATTTCTTTTTAATATGGAATAATTAAAAACCGAACTGCTGTATTAAATTTTAAACTCTTTCCGCTTTAACTCAACATGAATATTTTTACACTGACTAGTCTCGTCTCTCTCGTTTTCCTTTTTATTGGGTAACATTTCATACATTTTTATTTGATTTATGTGTTAAAATCGGTAGATAACAGTGCAAATTTAATTTTAAGATGTGGGCACAGTAGATATTACTTTTCTGGAATTCAATATGGTAAACGCTGTGATGTTTTTTTTAGTCCTCAGTGTTTTCACCTATATGCTACAGGGCTATTAGGTCTGCTGAAATCTCGTAGCATTCGTTATAATTTAAAAATATTATGGCTTTCCAATATTCACAAATTTTGTCTTCAATAAAATTCACTAATTAGATTATTGCTTTAAAAGTTACCATTTATCGTTTTAAGAAATTATTCTGAAAATGTTCATTTACATTTGGTTTTAGGCAACGCATGCATTTTATCAGAAAACCCTACATATTGAGCAGCATTGTAACAAGAAAGTACTGCACAAAATATGTAAATGTAGTATAAATTCTTTTTTAGTATTTGCACTTACAGTTACAATGTAATTTTAATTGGGAACTACAACTGCATACCCTTCACTCAAAAGGAGGTACTGATAAGCCTGGAAGTCGTTATCAACAAAAAGCCTGTTCAAGCCTGTTCAGGACAGTTTGATGACAATTTCCACCGGGCGGAAAGTACATTCTTAAGCCCAGGCAAATCATGACAATAAAAATCATTTAGTCTCATGATCCTATATTTCACTATAGGAGCCTTATCGAGACCATAACAACGCCTCGTCGGAATCGCAAAAGCGCCCGTCTCTATCCGCGTGCCAACGGGCCCAGTCCTTTTACTTCCTCTAAAACGATTGCCCTTTTCTATACATTCTTCGCCCTATGTTAATTTTCCCCTCGGTGCAAAGACTTAGCGGGTGCAACAAAAGCCATCTGTCTACTTTGTCTGTCTGTCTGCGGTCCTGCATGGGCTTCATACCTCTTAACTCCTCCCATTTCCTCCCCCTTTTCTCTCGTGAAGATATTTTGTCAACATAGGCAAATTTATAAGTCTGTGAAACAATATGTCTTAATATTTTGATCAAGATAAAAGTAAATTTATGCAAGCAATAGAAAATAATTGTGCAATATCCAGAAGTAGTTTGAGATGAAATTACGTTAACTACCCTATTTTGCATCCATCATCCTGATTTATGTTACTAGCTTAAAGTTCTTAGTGTTGAGAAGAACTGTCTTGTCTAGGTGTATGCAACCAATCTTTTGCAAGAAGCAATATGTAAAGGTAGCTTATGGATACTCATACAAAGGAGAAATTTCATTTGTGTGAGGAATGTAATCAGTCATTCAGACAAAAGTGTAGTTTAAACAAGCATATGCTTATTCACACAGGAGAGAAGCATCAAGGTGTTAAGTAACTTTTCATTTAAATTAATCAAAAATAATTTAAAGTCATTTAATCAAAAAGCTCATTTAAAAATGCATATGCTTATTCACCTAGGGAAAAAAACCTTAAATGTATCATTTATATCATCATATATAGAAATCATTTAATCAAAAAACTCATTTAAACATGCATGTGCATGTACACACAGCAGAGAAACCTTGCATGTAGAAAGTATGCAATAAATCATTTAATAAAAAAAGAAAAAAGAAAACTCTTTTAAACATGCATATGCGTATTAACACACTAGAGAAACCTCATATGTGCGAAGTGTGTAAAAAGACGTTTAGTGAAAAGGATACTTTAAGCAAGCATATGCTTATTCACACAGGTGAGAAACCTTACATGTGTGAAGTATGTAAGAGATCATTTAATCAAAAATCGGTTTTAAACAGGCATATGCGTATTCACACAGGAGAGAAACCTTATATGTGTGAATTTTGTAAGAAATCATTTAATCAAAAACTAGATTTAAACAGGCATATGCTTATTCACACAGGTGAGAAACCTTTCATGTGTGATGTATGTAAGAAATCATTTAATCTAAAAGATAATTTAAACAGCCACATGCGTATTCACACAGGAGAAAAACCTTATATGTGTGAGGTATGTAAGAGATCATTTAATCAAAAATCTGTTTTAAACAGGCATATGCGTATTCACACAGGAGAGAAACCTTATATGTGTGAATTATGTAAGAAATCATTTAATCAAAAACTAGATTTAAACAGGCATATGCTTATTCACACAGGAGAGAAACCTTATATGTGTGAAGTATGTAATAAATCATTTAAACATAAAGCTGGTTTAAACACGCATCTGCGTATTCACACAGGGGAGAAACCTTATATGTGTGAAAAATGCAACAAATCATTTAATCAAAAAATTCATTTAAATTTGCATGTGAGAATTCACACAGGAGAGAAACCTTGTATGTGTATTATATGCAAGAAATCATTTAAACGAAAAGCTCATTTAAACATGCATATGCGTATTCACACAGGAGAGAAACCTTATATGTGTGAAGTATGTCAGAAGACATTTAATCGAAAAGCTCATTTAAACAACCATATGCGCATTCACACAGGAGAGAAACCTTATGTGTGTGAAGTATGTAAGAAGACATTTAGACTAAGGATAAATTTAAAGCACCATATACTTATTCACACAGGGGAGAAACCCTATATGTGTGAAATATGCAACAAATCTTTTAATCAAAAAATTCATTTGAATTTGCATATGAGCATTCACACAGGAGAGAAACCTTATATGTGTGATTTATGTAAGAAATCATTTAATCGAAAAGCTTATTTAAACAACCATATGCTTATTCACACAGGAAAAACTATATACATGTGAAGTATGTAAGAAATAATTTAATCAAAAAGATAATTTAAACAGGCATATGCATATTCACACAGGAGAAAAACCTATTATGTGAGGTATGTAAGAAGTTGTTTAGTGTAAAGGGTGCTTTAAACAAGCATATGCATATTCACACAGGATAGAAACCTATTATGTGCAAAGTATGTAAGAAGGCATTTAGTGTAAATTATAGTTTAAAGAAGCATATGCTTATTCTCACAGGTGAGAAACCTTATATGTGTAAAATTTTATGTAATCATTTAATCGAAAAACCTCATTTAAACTTCCATAGGCGTATTCACACAGGAGAGGTACCTTATATGTGTGAAGTATGTAATAAGACGTTTAGTGTAAAGGTTAATTTAAACAAGCGTATTCTTCTTCACGCAGGAGAGAAACCTTCTATTTGTGACATACGTAAGAAGTCATTTAATCAAAAAGTTCATTTAAACAGCCATATGCACATTCACGCAGGTGAGAAACCTTATGTGAGCGAAATTCATTTAATCAAAAACGTCATTTAACTTTCCAGCACGTGCATATGCGCAAAATTTAGGACAAAGTTTTGCATTGCATTTCCATCTCACTAACATAAGAACTTTTACTTATATTTGAATGCAATATCATTTGTATTTTGCAATAATAAGATTAATATTTTATTTCTTAACAAATTTATTATCAATATTCACTGATTTCAGTTGTCTTTCGTGCCCCAAATGGTAAAATAACAGATTTCGTTAAAAATACAATGTGTGCGTCCTCATGTAAAATTGCCAAGTGCAACTGCTGGAAGGTTAAATGTGCATATGCGTATGCACATAGCAGTGAAAACTCATATGTGATTCACACTGGAGAGAAAATATGTGTGGTATGTGAAGATTCATTCAGTTTCATAAAGAAGATTAAAATATGGATATCAACATAAGAGACAAATGTTATGATTTAAGTATGTAACAAAACCCTTTAGGGTGATTGAAGAAGTTGAAGAAATGTATCTCTTAGCCAACACAGAACATCCTGTGTTTTGAACATATGTTAGAAACAAGTTTTACTTACCTGTGCAGTAAGCACCTGTCTGTGCAGCTAGAAAACCTCATTATTTGAGGTTAAGTCTGGATTTTTACCACCGGTTGACAGAATTATATGTAGCAACATTATTAGAATTTAGAGAGGCTAATTTGAATGGCACTACTGGTGACTTAGGGGAAGAAACATAAATTCTCATTTGATGAAAATAAATTATAAACCATTTATTTGTTTCCGCAAGAAGAAGTATTTTTGAAAATATCTTTACATGATAATAAGTGTTCAGTGTTTATATCTGCTGCGTACTGAAGTGTGGATAAGAACTTTGAAAACAGAAATTCTAAAAGGTGCCTAAATGTTTCATCCAATATCCATTCTGTAAATTAGATGCGCTTTGTGTTAAACTTAACTGTTTTTGAATTTCATGTAGTTACGAATTACAACTATTCCATTAGAGATAGAATTGCCATTCTTGTTGCCTGTCATGAATAATCTATTGGGTATTTCCACTCGTCATTGACAAGTGCTGAAGACCATATCTATCCAGCTTCAGTATCAAATGTGTCAGCATATAACATTCACAAAATCAATGCAGTCTTCCACAGTAGTGTTAGAAAGGTGAAAGGAAATCCCACATTTTCAATCAGATCTTGGACGTACCATGCTGAGCAATCCCAAGTATGTAGTGCACATAAGAAGATTGGAAAGCATCATTTCTGTGCAGGTAAGAACTCTGTGTATAGTACATATTTATTTTGAAAATTGTTATATATTTTTTTTCATGTAATAGTGAAAGTAAGCTAAAATAATTCATTTGGTATATTCTGCTGTGATATTATGAGATGAAATTATTTTTTATTATGAGATGAAATCATTTAGGGAACTTAGTAATATTTTGGTTCCAAAAAATAAAATAATAAATGCTATAAAGTACATATAAAAAATGAACAAGTTAATAAATGCCATAATCATCAGATTTTTTTTTGCTGGGTGCTTCAGAAAGAATGGAAGTTTCGGAAGCACTGAGCAAAAGCAAAAATGTTGTTTCATTTCTCTTCTTTAATAATTTTTCAAGATAACTATATCATGCGTAATTGCTTCTGCATATTTAAATGTGTATTAGTTTTCTCTGTAAAATTCAATTTACACTTTTTTAATTTCTTTTTTTTTTTTTTTTTTTCCAAAATTCAAAAACCTTCTGTCTGTTTGCTCGCACAAAGTTTGTAGGGATTTCTTTCCGATTTTAAGACTTGCATCCTCAGGATATGAAAGCATTATTTAAAGGCCTGTTATTCCTAAAACATGTGACGAAGTGATTCTTTTTGGTATTATTGTTTAATGGACATATTTTGGGATGAATATCCTACTTTTGGAAAATTTAGTTGATCTTTACAATATGGTAACTGGTAGTTTTGGCGACATTTTGGAGGCGATAAAGGTTACTACCTGGGACTTTGGTAATAATGTGAGCAGTACTCAGTTCCGATTACGCATTATTTTGTGTGGGGGAAATGAGAGATCATGGGATATGTCATGTGATATTAATGGAAGAATTACGGTTCTTTAATTGGAAAAGGGAGGGGGGGAATTTGGACAGTATCTGTGATGTATATTATTTTGTATTAAGCTTCATTGTGGTGTTGTGTGAAGTAGGGTGAATAATTTTGGGATTGTATGGCGCTGTCTAAGTGAATTGTAGATGTGATAAAGAGAATTTTTCTTTTATTAAATTCTATCAAATTCGGAAAAAAATCGTTCAGTAATTTTATTGAATCCATAATAAAAGTGTATCCACCATGTAAGGAAGATTCGGAAGATTAGGTTAGTTAGACTTTGTTAAGAATGTGAGTAGTATTCAGTTCTGATTATGCATTATTTTGTGTGAGGGAAATGAGAGTTCATGGGATATGTCATGTGATATTAATGGACGAATTACTGTTCTTTAATCGGGAAAAAATCTGGCAATTTGGATCCCATGGCCCTAACTAAAGTGAATTCGAAATGGGTATTTAGGCATTGTGATAAAGAGAAGTTTGCTTTTTATTTAGCGTAGGAAGTATGGGAGGAAAATTCGCAGACAAATCTTTCAATAATTTTATTGAATGAATTAGAAAAGTGTAATCCGCCACGTAATCAAGATTCTGAAGAAGATTAGGTAAGTTAGTATTTTTAATTATTTGAGGATATTATTTTATGCATTGTTTCTAAATGTAAGGTGGAAAGGAATTTGGTATTATTGGGAAATTGTTATTAGCAATGATTTAGTTTAAAGTAATTAGGATTGTAAGGTAATTTTTATTAATTTAATGTATGTGCTCATTTATATTTTAAGTAGTGTTTTTGAATTTAATTATATTTTCATGAAATGATAGTTATTTTGTGAATTTTATGTTTATAGGAATTTGGTAACGTTTTAGTTGAAGTAAACGTGCATGGAAATAATTTAAATATCTGACACTAAGTATTGTAATGGTTGCGGTATGAATTCGTTGGTGACGTTTTATAATATAATAGATGATTTAGAGGTAAAAGTTTTTGGATATTTTATTTATTTTATATGTGGAAATGTTCATATTTGGAAAGGGTAAATACTTTTTCGCAATCAGGTAATTTCATATATGTTCTTTTTATTGGGTTAAAGATTGAGAAAATTGTCATGTATTTTCGTGAATTTTTCTAATTTATGAGAAAAAAGCAGTGTACATGGATATAGTGAAGAGTGTGCGCAATGCCATTTTTGTGCAATTGTGGATGTTTTTTTAAGTAAAAATAAGTCGACGTGTACATGGTTTAGTGATATTTTAATTAAATGATAGTTATTTTGTGAATTTTATGTTTGTAGGAATTTGGTATACGTTTAAGTTGAAAGTAAACGTGCATGGAAATAATTTAAATATTTGATACTAAGTATTTGTAATGCTTGCGGTATGAATTCATTGGTGACGTTATACGTAATAGATAATATATAATGTAATACGTAATAGAGGTAAAAGTTTTTGGATATTTTATTTATTTTATATGTGGAAATGTTCATATTTGGAAAGGGTATATACTTTTTTCGCGATCAGGTAATTTCATATATGTTCTTTTTACCGGGTTTAAAGATTGAGAAAATTGTCATGTATTTTTCGTGAAATTTTTCTAATTTATGAGAAAAAAGCAGTGTACATGGATATAGTGAAGAGTGTGCGCAATGCCATTTTTGTGCAATTCTGGGATTTTTTTTTAAGTAAAAATAAGTCGGCGTGTACATGGTTTATGTGTATGTGTTATTTTGAAAAACGCGTAAGGAGTATGGTATTGTGCACTTTTTTTCCCAATTTTGCAGTGAATATTTGTCATGATTAAGCAGTTTTGTTAGATAAAATTTCTAGCATAAGTGTAATTCGGCTAGTAGATTGTTGGAAAAAGTGTTCAGTAGATAAAAAGAAAAGAAACATGTCTTTCTTTACTTCGTGAAGACAAAATGGCGGCGGGGAAAAAAAAATAGAGGGTTTGCTGTAGGAGAGTTGGTTGCCAAATTTTCGCCATAAAATCGCGAAGTTACCATAATGTAAAGATCAACCAAAGACCTTTTTACTGGGCACATGCATGTATTGTTTGGTAATAAAATAACTCTGTGGTTTCAAGCCTTTATCTATCCGGTAAAATCAACATTCCTATTTGAAAAGCAAGCAAACAGCAGTGGTTTCAAGGCGTGACCACCGAGCCTCTAGAGCAGGGGGTCGGCAACCTGTTTGTCCTTAATGGCGCAATACTAAATTTGAAAATCACCCAGGACGCATATTTTACAGATAATCAACAGGAATAAATAGGCATTAAAAAAAGCAGATTTCTTATAACTTTATTTTGTTGGTATCATACATAGTGATACATATAATTCAGTGTGAAACTTGGGTTTCAGCTAATTTTTCTAATATTTTCAGCTAATTTCTTATAATTGGGGATATATTTAGAGTTCCCGGTCCTTAAACAATTATCTAAATGTGAGTCATTAATTTGTTCGGATTTGATTCAAATATTTCATATTTGAGAACCAGACTCGCAATTGGGTTTTGCACGATATATAATTTTTACGCACATTTCCTAAATAGGAACTTTTTTCCGACAGTTCCAAAACATTTTATCATTACTATTTTTTAAATATATCTTGCAAGTTTAGGCTTATCTTTGGAATATGGTAACAGGTAGTTTGGCGACATTTTGGAGGCGATAAGGGTTACTATCTAGGACTTTGGGAATAATGTGAGAAGTATTCAGTTCCGATTACGCATTATTTTGT